TTCTCAGAAGGAAATTCATAGTACACATAAAATATTTATGATCATTTCTTACATTGTAACTGTATCTATGTAAAAGCCAAAATAAATATAAACTGTTCCAGCTATACAATATGCAGTGCCTGATGTGTTTATTACCACATTTTCTATGGCCAGTCTCCTGTCTGTTGTGTTTCTCCAGTGACTGTGTTATTCCAGGGAAATGAGTAACACAAGGGGAGGAGGGTGCATAATGACTTCTACACTGTAGGGGGTTGTCTGAACTAACACATGGATCATGCTCTGCATCTCTTGAATCTGTGTTCATGGTGTATTATGCAGAAAACATGTAGAGGGTGAGCTACTCAGGTTTCTTTGCAAGACAAATCAGTATGTATCACAGGCACTTTGCACTTTTCAGTTCATAGTTTTGAGGATCGATGAAATGCTGAAGAAAAGAATTTGTCTCCTAAGGAAGACCAAAGCCATAATGGTTCTATTTTTATCTGTGCTATTTTGCAAGAACTGTTTTCATTCTTTTTCTCCCTATTCAGTGAAGAGATGAAGTATGGAAACACTCATGGAAATGAAGAGAGCTATAATCCTGTGCTGCGAAGTCTCAACTTTCATGTTTTGCTAGATAAATAATTACAGCATGTTCTAAACAGTCATTCTCAAGCCATATATGATTATTGATATAGGATTTGTGTGTTTGATGGAATAGAGAAACAAAGAAAAAAGTAACTGAAAATGCCCACAAGTCACCAAAATGTTTGTGTTGAAGAGGTGTATGAAGACATGTAAGAGATTGCCAGTTTGAAATTTTATGTGTGAATCTTGTAGCAGGAAACATAATGTAATCCATAATGGGAAACAATTTAAAACCAGAAGATATTATTTGGGAAAGGGAGAATGCTTTACTGAGGAGGGTCGGTTTGGAGGTCAATATTTTCTGTCATTTTATTCCCTCCATGGACTCAGTTACTGAGTAGAATGTTTTACATAATAGAATTCTGGACTCCCTTCTTGGTTGTTGATATTCCACTTGTGTACACTTAGAGTATGTCAATTATGACAGCTGGTTATTTCTTCAACACAGAGATTTTGATTATGTCTTGCTTTATGGTTAGTATCCAGTTTTCACAGGGAATGTTTTCCCACCCAGAAGACAACAAATGTTGAGCTGACCCAGTAATTGTTCTTTCCTATATTTCCTTTGGGCTCTTGTTCAGCTAGTTGAATCTGAGTTGTTTTAAACATAATTAGGCCATCATAAATCACTCTGGGTTAGTTCACATGTGACATCACCAAGGAGACCCAATGGGATGATTAGAGTATTTTTTGGACAATGTATCTGTAGCTGTGTTGACTACTTTGTCATGAAAATGAGGTTTGTAAACAGTAGTCTTTGCAGAGTAACAAGTTAAAATATATTGCACCCTGATAGAGCTGTTTAGTAAATTAGATTTTCATAGTGCTAATTGAATTTGTCACAAAGCTGATGAACATTAGCTAAAGAAAGAGCAATATATTTTATTTTATTGAGCACATCTCAGAGTGCTTGTAATTTAGTATGGCCACCACACTTTCTGGGCAGGCTATCAAGTAGGATGTTGTAATGATTTGCATGACTACTATACTAGATGGAAAAATGTAGCTTGTGTTTGTAGCTGTTCCATTAGTGTCTTGCACAGTGTGCACTCCTTTGGTGCTCTTCAGAGAGCTGTGTCATAACCCCAGCATCTTTTGAAGAATTCTATCTGGTGAAATCAAGTAACTACACATCATTTAAAACCTAGTGTGTAATTGTACGATGAGACAAAGGAAAGACTGAGAAAGCCCGATAACCAATAGAATCCTGAAGTTATCAAAACAGAGTTCTTGCCAAGGACCTTGGAATTCATCTGATTCAGTTACTGGAAAAATTCCCAAATTAAAAATTATCCTATGAGGACCAAGAAAATGGATCCAAAATCTGGCACTGTACAGTTTTCCCCAAAATGGTCATTAATGCTGCAAAAACAGAATAGGGTGAAAAACCCTTGGCCCCATGGTTGGCCTCCTGCTGTAGGCTCTATCTGCCAAAACAAGATGGAATAGAAGATCAAAAACAGAAAGGGAGCGGGGAGGTGGGATAAGATTGGAAAAGGAGAGTTTGGAAAAGGAGGGTGGTTGGAAAGGGAAAAACTCGTAGACTATGCCCCCTGCCAGCACTGAAACACTTGACTGCAACTCCCCTCGCAAAGCACCTGTTGGCAGATGTTGGAGTAGTTTGCAGGTTTTGGGACAGTTTATAGTCTATGTTCCCTTATGTGACATGTGATATGACCTTATTTTAGTAAAAGAGAAGAAATTCTTGGACAATAAGTGCAGCAATAAATATATCTGCACAGAAATAATGATGACAGTTTTTGCTTTCATTAGAAAAATTGCATTCTTTTTAATGGATCTTATTACTACTAATATTAGTATCCTTTGGCTGATATGACCTATATTGTCTTCCTTTTATTCAGAATTGAAAAACGAAACCACATTGCATGGTGTGAAAATACAGCAAAACAATGATCATAAATATTAACCTGATACTGTCCTTCAAAGTCAGTGGCAGAAGCTAGGGATCAGGGGCGATCTGGCCAATTTTATGTTTTGCAATCTTTATGCATTGGAGTGGAGTGATAGGAAAGAACAAAAATTGTTTATGGTAAATTAGAGCTCTCAGCAAGTATTTTATGTCAGGAACTCAGTTTAAACATTTTAACATCTTTACAAACTTTAATGTAAATGCCTGTTAAATGCATTTAATTGTGACTTCTAGCATTACAGTTTATGCCCTCCCTTTGTTACTAACTCCGAAAGTTATTTGTGTTCATGTACAAAAGTTTTTGCACTTCTTTGCTGTTATATAAATAGCTTATTATTCCTTATGATAAATATATACCAATTATCAATAATATGTGTATTCGCTATGTAAAGTATATCAAGCAGAAAATAAATATAGGTATTTATTATAGACTGAGCTAAAAACTCCGTTACATATAGTCATATACATGACTATAATGAGAATCCTCCCATGCTAATGCTTTGGTTCAGTGTAAAAGGCTTATTTAGTAAGTACCTGTGTAACTCAGAAGGTTTGGATAAAGTTGAAATAGAAAGTAGATAATGTTTTGAAATTTAATCCTCTCTGATACATATAAAATTTAAAAAAAAACCCCACAGTTTTCCTATTCTACCTGAAACACTAAACTTATTAGTTCTAAAATAATTGAAATTTGAAACTTCAAACCTCCCTGAGATTTATATTCAATAACGAAAAGAACTCAAGTTTCTGATGCTGCAGCATACACTACTCAGGCAGGGCCTGGTTCCTGCGTGAAGCTCACCAAGAGCTTTTCTCCATCAAGTTTGCCAGATAGTAGGGCCAAAATGCAAATTCCATTAGTTCGATAGTTTTTGTGTGGAAGATTTCAAAATGAGATTTTTCATTTTGTGTTAGAGTGATTTCTTCACCTTGCTTAGAAAGAGAAAGAAGCTGAGTAGCCTAGCATGTAAAAAATTGTCTTAGCTTTAGTAACTGTTAGCTTTAGTAACTGTTAGCTTTAGTAACACCTGAGATTAGACATGTTCTGTGCCATTAAAGTAAAAGGACAGGATCTGGAACTTGAGACAATGACATCTGAAATAGGAAAGCATCTAGTGGAACATAAGCGTGCGCTTAATTTCCATAGGACTGTATCGTATATGTAAAGATAGGAATTTGCAGATATTTTAACTTGAGTAAGAATGCTTTCCTGAATCAAGATTTTTAGAAACTTAGCTGTGAATCACCAAAAGACACATTCTTTATTATAAAAAACTTTGCAACTATTTTTACTATAAAGATAAATAAATTAAATAAATGCACTCAAACTTTGTAGTAAGTATAGTCTTCACAAACTGGTTGTGTGTGTAACAGCATTAAATTCATTATGCTGGATAAAGAGATGGAGGGTGGATGTTTACGACAATAAGTCAGAGGAACAGAAATTTCAAAAACATTGTAATTATTATCTTGGACATAGGTGTATGTATTTTCTTGACATTTCAAAATCCTGTAAGACTTGTTTAGTGGTTTCATTATCTCTGCAGATTGAGGGATTTCAAAAATACACTTTGATTCTGATAAATACATCTTTCTATTGTATGTTTTCTCTTTGGAATGATATATGAAATGGATAGTAGAAGAAGGCAGGTCTAGAAAATTTAAGCAGAAAATTCTCCCTGGGTTACATATGGATTTTTCGTGAGGTATTAGGTGGGTGGAGAAAATAACAGAGCCAACTTTGAAGCTGGTGGTGACAGGTGCATTTGGGATCTTCCAGATCTCTCTTACCTTGGCATTGTCCCCTTGCAATTCACACTTTCTATTCAGGCATATGGAAAGTTCCCAGCATGTGTATGTAAGTGCTTATGATGAGCAGTGGAGCAGGAAGAGGAAAAGCCAGGACTAGTCATTAGTATCAGCACAGGGCAGGATAGGATGAAGTGAGGCTGCAACTCAGATACCCAGCTCAGGAATCAGGCCACATCTTAACATCAAGTTCATCTGAGCCCCCAGCACTGTCCTGCAGTATCCTTAGGAATTGGTCTTATACGACAAAGAAGCCAGTGCCAACCTGATCTCCCTTCCTTTGCTACTCTCAGCAAGATTTATTGTACTTATTTATGATGCCAGTCAAATGTTCCCACTGTTCTCAAGTCAGAAAACTGAGCAAAAACTGATTAAATTGATCGCATAGCATAAGTCCTCACTTTCTCCACAGTAATGAACAACTAGCACCATTTACTGTCAAAAATCCTTACGGTTCACATACACTACAGAGGAGTATGTTTAATACATGAGGTGTTTTAGTACTGTATCACCAATTATATGCTTAGGTTTTTACTTTATTTTTTCAAATTTCAGAAACTGTTGGAGTCAATGAAAATTAAACTACCAACTATATAAAGATGTTTATTGGGCCTTTTTTATTATTCTTTTATAGGTCTTGTAGAAATTTGCCTGATGCATCCCCTTGATGTCGTGAAAACAAGGTAAGATTGTGCTTGAACAGGTTTTGTTGACACTGGAAGATATTCAAATTGCAAACTGTCAAAAAATAAAATCCTTGAACTTCTCCAAAGAAGATAACTTATGTCTTTAATGACATTTATATTTACTTACCTGTATCTGCAGCATTCAACAGATGAAATTTGAGTAGCATGACACATTTCTGATTAGAGGTCATCTAAAGGTGTTAAATCTGTTTATGACGTATTTTCACTGTTGTAACACAATGCTATAACATGAAGTTAAATTCCCTTACTATATGTATCGTCTGCAGTGATGCTTTATATGTAATTGGGAGATACCATATTGTCTCCAAAATAATTTTCACAGATTTTTTTATAAAAATAATAAAAGAAGATGTTCCATATTCTCTCTGTAAGCTAAATAACTTCATGGTTTTATCTTTTTATAAATCTTTTTATCTGTCCTTATTTTCTTTTCCTAATATTTGTTCTTACATGGGTAAATGATTAAATGACCTGGAAATTTTGTTCAAATTAGGTTTTTTTGATGTTGAATTACTGAGATGGAAAAAGAACAATTGTGTTTCTAGTTTCTGGAATATTCTTTTATTTTCTATGCTTTTTAGTTTTTATATAAATTCATCAGTGAATGTAACCATATGTGAAAAGCAAATCAGAATGGAGAAGCATACAATAGTAAGAAGAAAACTATTCATTATGCAGGGCCAATAATTACGATATACTGCTTCTGGAACTTTATCTATGTCTCAGTCATGTAGGTAGAAAAGCTTCACTAGGAGATGAATCGGCCCCAAACAAATGATGAGGACAGCTGTGGTCTCTGAAATATGCTTGAAGTTGTAAATTATGGCTTGAGATTCCAGTTCCAGTTAGCCACTGTGTGAGTTTTTTATTGATGTATTTTTGGCTTCTGTTTGAATCACATTCTGTGGTTTGCATAAGACCTTGACATGCCTTTTTCTGCAGGTTACATTTTGCAGCAGGAAGCCATCTCTCTGTGGTCATTGTCCAACACTAGAATGCAGTCGTTAAGGCTCCATCTGCGTTATCTGCTGCTGAGGTGCTGTAAGTCCTCCTTGGGGCTTGGAGTTTACTCAGGCAATTCTTCTGTATGCCCACATAATACGGAATGTGTTACAGGATCACAGAATATCCTGAGTTGGAAGGGACCCATGTGTTGATTCTTCTAGAGACAATGCATCTGGTAGTCTCAAAGGTCCTCTCTGCCCCTCCAAGTACCACTGAGACTATGCTATTAAAACAAGACTTACATAAGAAGATAGAAACTATTGACTCAGAAGCAACAGGGTACAAGCAAAACAAATACAAGACCAATTTTAAAAGAAAAAATCTATCTTGATCTGCTGTCATATGGTCCTCAAAGGATATGCTTTAGTGAATTCATTTTGGCAAGTTTTGCTGTAACTCACCTATAGGTTTCAAGCTTTTGGTTTTACCTCTTGCCATTTTCCTCTTTGTACTGAACTAGGAATCTTTTTTTTTTGTATTATAAATACAGCTTTTGTAGTATAAATGCAGCAGCAGTGATTTACTTCTCATGCCTTTGGTGCCTTTGAGGTTGGTATCCTACACATCCTCATGTCTCCAGTCTTGCTTGAAAAAACTTAATGTGTATCCTTAGAATCATTCATATTTTAGTATATGCCACATATCATACGTCAGAAAAAGCATTAATTGAACATCTGTAGTGATAAACTGGCAATCAATACACATACTTTCAGCTTTCTGATAGAAACCATGCAGTGGACTCTCAGAACACAAGGACAGATTTCCCCATTTCTACTACAGATTTTACTGAGTTTATCACACTTTTAGTAGTGAAAAGGTTTCTCAGATCTGAGATCCATAAACATAAAGCATTAAAGCGTATATGGGGATGTTTGTAAAGCTGTATTAATACTGAAAAATATAATAAAAAATAATAAAAGTTAGGAAACCTTTTATTGTGAAATCTGAGTTCATAAACAGTGGAATTTTTAGAAGAAAGAAAGAAGAAAGTAGGAAAAAAGGAAAGAACGGTAGATGTACAGAAGAAATCTGATTATGGATCAAGGTAAAACAGGAGGACTGAGTCAAATAAAATATCCATTAAACAAATTTCTTCATCTGAAGAAACTTCAGTTAAATTAACTCTTCCACTGAGTTAGCTACAACTCTTTGCACAAGTGGGCAGCACACAGTGACAGTTTTCCTGGTTTGTTGTTGCAGAGGTATCCAGAGGTATCACACAGATTTTGCAGGAACTCTTCTGCTGATCTCAGCAGATGTTAGCAGTTGAAAATACTTACATTTTGAAAGCCAATGATGAAAACAAGAATAGAATATCCTTTGATCTCATCCATCATTTCATTCTATGTTCCTAACATCATGCTTCTTCCTTTCATGTTGCAATGGTCCAAATTTATTAAAGCAGATTAATTCTTTGGTCTTGAAGAAGTTCAAATGAAACATTGGTTTTAATTCTGAACTTTGGATATAGAATATTTTCTAATACTTTTTCATTTACTTTATTCCTTTCTTGCACTGCCACTAAGTACTGCAGTTTACTTAATCCAACACAGTATTGATAATCTCTACTTTCCTAGTCGCTTCCAGCTATTACAGTTGTGGTGATTGGTTTAGGGTTTTCTTCCTTTTGGTTAAGTGAAAGGATATATAAAAGCAGCATTTGTTGCTTAACTTTTATGGTGTTTTGAGTTTTCTTCCTTTTTTCTATAAAGTGCTTGTTTGGTGAAAAGAGTCCCGTGGCCTTTTCAAGTTAGTGAAATCTCACTGATCTAAGTTACTGTTCTGAAGGAATTTAGGGAAAATGTCAGAGGCTCACATCTAGTGGACTGGTGGCTTAGCATCTTTGCTTTGTTGATATTTTGTGTATGTGTATGTTTTTAATAAAAAATTGGAGAAAATAAAGTTCCTGTCAAAGATTATTTTGAAACCCTGAAAAATGGTTTGGCTCTTTTTTGCCATTTTGCAATATATTTTCTGTGTTTAGCAATTTTCTGTTATTCTACAGTAACAATGCTAGACTTGTTTATCTGCTCACATCAAGGAAGAAACAATATTTAAGTACATGCTTATAAACTACAGACAATCCAAATGCTTAATTAAGTGTTTTTTCCCAAGTATACATTTGAAAATAATTTTATTTTTTTATCTATTAGAACAGTAAAGATCACTACTTTAAAAAATTCATGTGAGCTATGTATATGAAGATAACTATGACCCATTGTTTTAGCTCTATGAATCCCACTTATTCTTTGAAATAAAGCTCTTTTCTCAATTGCAAGATATATTGGTATAGCTTCTGATGAGACACTATTAAAAAAAGCTGTGCTAAATTTTTAATGTTTTCATAGAACAGTCTCTGATAGCTGTTTTATTTATCAGTTACCCTTATGATTATTTTAGCCAACTGCAGATGAAATAAAGTACTGAATCTCTGCTCTTGTCCTCCTAAATACAGTCTGGTAAGTTTTTATGTGTGTGCCTATGTATAAGAAGTGATAGCAGTAGCAAGAGGTTTTCAGTACAGATACAGTCAAGACATAAAAAGTCTACTTTTTAATTAAGGTGATCTTTCTTTGCTATAAAGTGAGGGAGGAGTCTGGATAAAGAATTGGTTTTGCTTATTTTGAACCCTTTTCGCGTCTTAAGTGTAATACAGGTTGTAATGTAATTTTCATCCATCAGACTTTCAAAGAATAACAAAATGGCATTCTAATTCATGATACATAGGACAAGATATTGCCATATATATTACTTTAAAACTAAAAATAGTGAAGCGTTTTTCCACCTAGGGTTTATCCTTTGTATCCTAGTGGTGTATGTTTTGGCTTAAACAAATGTACAAAATTCAGAACTTAATAGTTGTTTATTGTTGGAAAATTAATATTTATGCAACAGCTCACAGATTGCATAAGTGTAGTTGATGAGGGAAAGGGAGAGAATCACAGGCAGTTGTCTATAGTCAAGGGAAAGCTGATGGTGTTTGAGGAATCAGTCAAGGAACCCTGACTGATGATTGGAGGATGTTACTGTGGTCTGTCTGACAGTTTCAGGTTATGTTCTGATGTAGTCCTCTGTCCTTGAACAGCTTGAATTTTCAGGGAAAAAAACTGTTCATTTTTTTCATATGCCTACTACTGAGTTGCTGGCATAAAAATGACATTTTCAGGAGCTCAGTAACTTTGAACTACGTGCCCTAACATAAAATTTTCCTTGCTATTACATTTTAACACCTCAAGAAATGCATGCAGCCAAGGTTGATATTGGACAGTTAGAACTATGACTAGAAATAAAATTTTGGCTAATATTTCCTCAGGTTTATGAGTTGATTACCTTTACATGCACTTTCTCTTTTACTTTGATTATCACCAGTATGATACACCTGAATCTTAGTGATTTCACTGTTCTTGAAAACAAATTTCAAAGTTTCCTGTGCAAGTATTCGTACAGACTGTGAAACATATATTGAAGTAGAAATAGTCATTTTGGATTGTGTAGTTATGAAATAGAAACCATACTTTTAATTTTTTTTAACAGTTGTCTACATGACAGAGTTTAATAGAAAACACAAATGAAGAAATATGTATAATATAATATATATATATATATAATGGCCAGTCTTCGCGAACGAAGATCTGGGGAAAGGTCTTTTACCTTTCCAACCTGCGCAATGGATTTTTTAGCCTGCGCTGAACTGAGCCCACCCTTTAATCCTAAGGTTCATCTGCCGGGGCCAAGCAAGCTTGGACAATGGCAGTGAGGTCCTCAGGACGTAGGTGTGTTTAGAGTGACCTTCTCATAGATGGATGGCCTCACAGGGCTAACGGGCTCCATCTGCCCGGGGGACTGGGAATCGAACCTGGGTCACAGCAGTGAGAGTCCTGCATGCTAACCACTAGGCCACCAGGGGTCTCTGAAGAAATATGTGATTAACTGCTTTCAAATAATAGGAAAAAAAATAACAACATGTCACT